AAGATATATACAGAAACAAACAGCAGTTTATTGACTGGGGTACAGCTGCCCTCCAACTCACCAGTACATCTACACATGCAACCATCCAGTCATTTTCACTTCATCCAACATTAAACAAATCTGTTGGGTATCACTCTGTGCCAGTGCAGTGCTGGGCACGAGGCCTATCAAGTTGAGTGAGACCCAGCTGCTGCATTGCAGAAGCTCCTGGTCTGGTTGGGGAGACACACAGGTAAGTGAAGGGCACCACAGCGTTTTAGGAATTATTTGTGCATTAACTTCTCCATTTAGCACGTACTTACTGAGCACCTGCAGTGTACCAGCGCTGTGATGGGCAGTTGTGAACCTTGTCCTCCTGAGCTGGCAGTCCAGCAATAGAGGTCAGCATGGCTAGGTCACCTGGAAATGCCTCCAAGGGATAGGCAATGGGGCAATAGAAGGACCAAGGAGGCACACCAGCTTGTAACTGTCTCATCTTGGAAAGGACACACATCTCTTTTGGCCAGGATTAGTCACATGGCCCCAACCTAACTGAAAGGCAGGCTGGGAAACATTGGGAAGTCCATGAGGTATTAGGTGAGCATAAACTCTGCTACAGCAACCAGTGGTCTCTGCCGCTCCCTGTTAAGTGAAACAGCATCTCCCTCGTGGAACTGAATATGGAGGCAAATAATTCAAGGATGAAAAAGGATAGGAACTTCATTATTCCCCTGGCAGTGCCTGGGGACAGCATCCATCACTTCTTGTCCCTTGTCCCCCAGATGCCTGGAGCTTCCTGGGTTCTTCTGGGTTTCAGTTTCTTTCCTGAAACCACATGATTAACTTTTTTTTTTTTTTTTTTGAGATGGAATTTCACTCTTGTTACCCAAGCTGGAGTGCGATGGTGTGATCTTGGCTCACTGCAACCTCTACCTCCCAGGGATTCAAGTGATTCTCCAGCCTCAGTCTCCTAAGTAGCTGGGATTACAGGCGTGCCCCGCCATGCCTGGCTAATTTTTGATTTTGTTTTTTTTTGAGATTGAGTTTCGCTCTTATTGCCCAGGCTGGAGTGCAATGGTGTGATCTTGGCTCACCTCAACTTCTGCCTCCCAGGTTCAAATGATTCTCCTGTCTCAGCCTCCTGAGTAGCTGAGATTACATGCACGTGCCATCATGCCTGCCTAATTTTTGTATTTTTAGTAGAGACAGTGTTTCAGCACATTGGTCAGGCTGATCTCTAACTCTTGACCTCAGGTAATCCACTCGCCTTAGCCTCCCAAAGTGCTAGAATTACAGGCCTGAGCCACCACGCCTGACTTTTTTTTTTTTTTTTTTAGTAAGATCTCACTCTGTTGCCCAGACTGGAATGCTGGAATGCAGTGGTGTGATCAAGGCTCATTGCAACCTCCACCTCCCTGGCTGAAGCAATCCTCCCACCTCAGCCTCCTGAATAGCCGGAACTATAGGCATGAACCACTATGCCCTGCTACTTTTTAAAATTTTTGGCAGAGATGGGGTCTCACTATACTGTCCAAGCTGTCTTGAACTCCTGGGCTCAAACAATCCTCCTGCGTTGGACTTCCAAAGGGTTGGGATTACAGGCGTGAGTCCCTACATCTGACCTGCATAGTCAGCTCTTTAACTTCTCAAGGTACTCAATTTCTTTTCCATTAACGCGTTTATTGCTTAAGTTAGCAGGAATTGATTGAGAGAAGTTTGACAGGGACATACACCCCTAAATCACTTCTGGGATTCTCATGATCACTGAGGAATGAACAGCTCAAATGCTGCTTGCCAGTCAGCCCTACCCTCCCTGAGGCCCTGTTCCATTTTTTTTTTTTTTTTTTGGTGGTTGCAGGGTCCAGCCCCGCAGGGTCTAGTGGGTGTTCTTTTGTGTGCGGAGGTGATAGATCGCAGGAAAGAAAGACACAGGGCACAGAGATGAGAGAAGAATTCAGCTGGGCCCGGGACACCACTACTACCAACATGGAGTCCAGCAGTGGCCCTGAATGCCTGGACGAACTGATATTTATTGTATACAAGGCAGGGGGGCAGGGTAAGGAAAGAGAATCATCTGACGTGATTGATAGGGTCAAGCAAATCATGTGCTTACAGTACAGGGGCTCCTCCCTTTCAGGTAGCCGCTGCGAGTGGGGGAGGCACATACGTCAGCATCTATCTATACACTCTCAGAAAGATCACAGGCTTTTACGATTCCTCTATTCTTTACTTCTCACAACTTCTAAGAACTTAGAAAAAGCACTCGGTGAGAAAGTAGAACATGAAAGTGGACAAGGATGGTGACCATCGGAGCACAGCACCACAGAGAGGCATTTAAGCCCCTGGATGTCTGCGGGCTGGGCTGACTAATGTCAGGCCTTCCTCACAAGCCGGGCAGAGCAGATGTTCTCTGAACTCCCCCAGTGAAAGGGAAACTCCCCTTCATGGCCTGCTAAGTAATGGGCATCTTCCCAGGGCATTTACTCTCACCTCCTGATCAGTTTCACAATGTCCCTTCAGTTCTGAATTATATTTGACCCGATTGTGTCTGTACTATAAGACTAGAATGATTCTATGCTCTAAAGCAAAGATTAATAAAGAATCATGATTTAATAGGACGGATTATATAATTGATGATGTGATTGTTTCTAAATATATTTGGTATCATTGCTAAAACTAAGTAATCAGTTATTGATTATACCAGGACAGCTTGTGCCTTCAGTCTCTTGCCTTGGCACCTGGGCAACTTTCTTCCCACAGGTAGTGTTTATGCAGTTATAGTATATAAATTGCATTTCGTCCACATTGTTTCATAAAAATCGGTGAAATTGAAAAACCAAAGCACTCGTGCCTGCGATGTGAAATAGAGATGGAAATCATTAGGTGAATTATAAAGGACACATTTCATTTTTACACCAAAAAAGCAAAGGCGATTTTAAAATTTGGAGAGTGATGGTCAGGTATTTTGTAGAATGTCCCTCAATTTGTGTTTGTCTGTATTTTTCTCATCATGGGACTGTAGCTGGGAGTTTCTAGAAGAAACCACAGAGGTGAAGTGCTCTTCTCACAACATTAAAACAAATCGACATGGTACCAGCAAGTTCATCTGGATGTTTTTTTTTTTTTTTTTTTTGAGAAAGAGGCTTTCTCTGTCACCCAGGCTGAGTGCAGCGGCATGATCTCAGCTCACTGCAACCTCTGGCTGCTGGGTTCAAGAAATTCTCCTGCCTCAGCCTCCGGAATAGCTAGGATTACAAGTGCCGGCCACCACGCCTGGCTAAATTTTGTACTTTTAGTAGAGATGGGGTTTTGCCATGTTGGCCAGGCTGGTCTTTTTTTTTTTTTTTTTTTTATGAAGTCTCACTCTGTCATCCAGGCTGAATGATAGTGCAGTGGCATTATCTCGGCTTACTGCAACCTCCGTCTTCCAGGTTCAAGTGATTCTCCCGCCTCAGCTTCACAAGTAGCTGGGATTACAGGCGCCCACCACCATGCTTGACTAACTTTTGTATTTTTAGTAGAGATGGAATTTCACCATGTTGGCCAGGCTGGTCTCGAAATCCTGGCCTCAGGCGATCTGCCTGCCTGGGCCTCCCAAAGTGCTGGGATTATAGGTAGGAGCCACCGTGCCCAAACTCATCTAAACTATTTGATTGAGGTGATGTCTACCAGGTGTCTCCACTGGAGTTACTTTTTTTTTTAAAAGGACGCTTTTTTACCTTAATGTATGGCCACTGAATACGAGCCACAAAAAAAGAAAAAGAAAATTAAAGAATGCGTATGAAATGTTGTGATTCCATCAGTGAAGATGAAATCTAGTAGCAAG